TACCCTGATTTTATTAAACAATTTATAATAACAGCAGATGCATCCAAAGAAGCCTGTGGAGCAGTATTATCTCAAATTTTTGAAGGTCAAGATTTACCGATAGCACATGCTTCGAAAACATTTACCAAAGGAAAAATTAATAAGGCGACCATATATAAAGAACTAGTGTCAATTCATTGGGCTGTAAAGCATTTTAAACCTTACTTATTCGGTAACAAATTTTTGGTTAAATCTAACCACAAACCCCTTGTCTACTTGTTTTCTATCTATTGTCAAAACTAAACAGGATGCGATTGGACTTAGAAGAATATAATTTTAAAATATAATACATCAAAGGTAAGGACAACGTAGCTGCAGATGCCTTGTCCCGAATCTATAGATGAACTAAAAGAAATTTCAAAGAAGACAGGGCAGGTGTTCGATGGCAAAAAGTAAAAATATAACTATTGACGAAGTAATTGAAGAAAATATGGTAGAAATAATACCCAAAATATACGAAACTAGTGTAGTTAAAATACCCATTTTAAAATTTGATATTAAGACCAAGTGTTTAAGAATATTCGTGGGATTAAAGGGTCGAATGAAATAGAGCGCAGAATTTCGATCACCAATGGCAATATCTCTTTATAGAAGATAATCGGGGTCTTGATCTATCTTTCTGGCTAACTGGTTTCGCTATAAATAGCACGTTTTATTGCCTGACAAGCTCATACGTTTCATTTAATATAGTCTTGTTTCCCTCACTACGTGTTTTCGGCTGTTCGTCTTTACGATATCAAAGCAGCCATGACTTATAAATCAATTTTAACAGATTCTAACCTCGAAATTTTAGCAGGTGCTTCAGAGGTCCCGTTAAATTAGCAAAATTTTTAATTTAGCGCCACAATCGGAGTGGAAGGTTGGTACCGTGATTTATTGCGGCATTTTTATAACCTATATATTTTCGTAAAACGTTTATCTCTGGTTTGTAGTTAATTAACTATTGCTAGTCAAAAATGAACAATTTGAGTAATGAAATCGAGCAACTTATTGTGGAAGAAATCGAGGAAATGATAGCTGGTGAAAATCAAAGGTTAATATTAATTAATTGATTAATTGATTGGTAAGTACCAACACATTGAACATGTTTTTTTGCCCTGGTGTATATTTCGTACTCCCAGTAAAATAGTGGCATAATCTTAAATTAGAAACTATAGTTTGGAGTAATTGAATTGTAAAAACTTGAATTTGTTTATTCAAATAATTTTAGTATGTTTTCCATATATAATAATAATAATAATAATAATAATAATAATAATAATAATAATAATAATAATAATAATAATAATAATAATAATAATAATAATAATAAAGTTTATTTTTTCATAACTAAAGTACATTTACAAATTTGTTGTACAAGTATAAACTTAAATAATATGAACAAAAACACAATTGTGCTCAAGAAGATAGAAATATTCTACCCCTCGGTTTTCAGCACAAACCTTGACTACACACAAATTACATTCATTTTATGTTATGCCTATCTAAGTAAATTAAATTGTTACATAAATTACAAATAAGAGAAGATAAAAAAAAGAAAACAAATTATTCCATTTAATTGATGAAAAACAACTACTTACTGAACATTAAAGAGTAGCGATGAAACTTGCTTTTGGCTTGTTTAAGGATTTTATATTGTTTGGTAATTTGTTGTAGTTTTTTGCGATGTTAAATGTAAAAGATCGTTCGTACAGTGATGTTCTGTGAGTAGGGGGAGTAATAATGTGTTTGCTTCTTATATTTATGTTGTGGACATCCATCCTAAATTCAATTTTACTACAAAGGTAAGAAGGTGTTTTCGACTTTAATATCTGATGGTAAAAGCATAACGTCTGAAGTTCCAATCTATTACTCATGTTTAACCAGTTTAATTCCTTTATTTTTGTTGATACTAGACCTACGTGATAAACCAAAAATAAAACGGATGCAAGTATTTTGAACCATTTGTATTCTGCTTTTTGTTATATTATCAAGACATCGGTAATAGACCGGAGCGCAATAATTAAAATTTGACGACACTAGAGACTCACACAACAAGGTTTTAATCTTTCTGGACAAACAATTTCTGTGGGGGTAAAGTAGTTTTAAAGCTAGGAATGATCTCTGGATATTTGTGATCTAAATCTGAGGGTATATTATCAAGTTTTAAACCCAGATTGGAAACACTATCAACGACCGGTATTATTTCGTTTTCTATATGTATAGAGAAATCTTGTTCTATTTCTGTAATAACCGACTTCTTCCCAAATAAAATTATTTTGGATTTGGAAGGGTTCAGAAAAAGGTAATGCACACGCGATACTTTATTTATTAAATTAAGATCGTAAAGAATTTTATCAATTGCAAGGTCTTTTTGCTCTTTTCTAAATGGTAGATATAATTGCGTGTCGTCCGCATACATATGCACATTACAGTAATATATGTATGTAAGTATTACAATAAACAAATTAAAATAAATAAATTCGAATCTTTGATTCTTTAATTACTCCAAACTATTAATTTTAAGGTAAGCCAAAATTTACCGGAAGTGCGATTTATATAAATTGGACTCCCAATAATATTAATTCTGAATTTTTATATTTTTAGTCATGAACTTAATTTGCAACGGAGAAGGCTACGTGATGAGAGCAATCCTTTTAATTTGGAAAATAAAATGTTTTTGCTATATTTTAGGGTAACTAAAATTGTTGCAAAATGCAATTATAATAAAAACCCTCATTCTAAAATAATACATAATAATTAAAAATATACAGGGTGTCTTCTAATTAATGGTATACAGCAAAACGACAGATTATTTAGGTAAAAATATTACCATTGATATGGATTTAACCAAACTTACCTACAAGTTGATACAGCTCATAGGTTGACCTAGTTAAAAGTTTTTTTTTTAAACAAATGTTTTTGCACAAAGTTTGGTGTTTGGGTATTTTTCAGAGCAGAAATTTTAAATTTCCTAAAAAATAATGTAGATTTTAAAGAGAGCTGTCTGCAACGCATTGCATATAGTCTATTTTTTTTTACTTTTTTTACATACATAATACAAAATTTTATTGTCCTTTATATGGCTAAAACCTGATGTACCTAAATTAACAATTTTAAAAAATAGGCAAGGGAAAAACTTTATTTTACTTTAAACGTATACAATGTTTTGCATACAGCGCCCTATAAAAACTACATCAGTTTTTTTTAGAAAATTTTCCGCTCTGAAAAATACGATATTTTGTACAAAAAACTTCGTTTTTTTTTAAGTTGTTTAAAAATTTGACACCCTGCATCTTGGTTATAATGAACTTTTCAACATAAATAATTTTTAATCTCATTATTTTTACATGTATACATAAATATACAGGGTGTCCACTAATAAATGATAAACTTAAAAACCATATTCTGTATACAGAATCTGGTTTTGATGTTAACCATTAATTAGTGGACACCCTGTATATTTATTTAAGGTGGATTATAAATACCTATGCATTTTTTTTGGGTGCTATCGACTTTTTTTGGTCAGGGAAGTTACCAGAAATCTATTTCTGACAACTTTCCTTTTCCCTTTAAAGTTTCCACATTCAGCAAAATTTTAAAGGAAACAACAAGTGCGTTTCAGCATTTACTGCAGAAAATAAGCAAGGGTAAGTACACCCTTTATAATAATATAAACTTAATTATTTATTTGTTGTTTGCAATTTGTAGGTTCGAACCCATGTTTAATATTCATGTGGCAATTGTGGCTCCTGCTGCTGAAGACCCTGTAAGGTCTGGGATAGCCTATTATAATAGAAAGGGGAATTACAGCCTTAATGTTCAAATGATATTTAGCAATAATTGTAATAATATTTAATTCACAATAATACTAACTATATTTTTTTTAGATTTGTGACCATGAGTTAAGAAATCTAAACTGCAATGCCAGATTTCCAGGATCAACTCATGATTATGGAATTTGGGCATTAAGTTTGGTAAGAAATATGTTGCACGAGCAATATGTTTCAGGGTAGTGGAATGATGAGTGTGTAATTGGTATGATAAATGTTATATATATATATATATATATATTTTTTTTTAAATTATTTACATATGTACTGAACCTTTTCTATGCTAATAAACCAAACCTACCAACATATACAAAATATTATTTATTTTAGGTGACTCAGGGTACCCACTGTTACCGTATTTGCTTACCCCTATTATGGATTACCTTTAGTAGATTAGATGCGTACGGCCAGCTGGCATCAGTCGGGCACTGGGGTAGATAAGATAAAATTCTGATACTGTTTAATGGGCGCCAGAGACTTTAGCACAGAAAAATGTGGTTATGTATATCATATGTCTCAAAGATATACATTGTTTATAAATGTGACAAAATTAGAGCTTTGATATAGTATGATGGTAACAACAGTAGCAATAAAAAACACTATATGAGCTACAGTTCTTTATTAACATAAATCAATATTAATTGAAAAATAAAATACTACACCTAAATTTATCACTGTATAAGTTCTTTTAAGATATCTTGTAAATATTTATCACTGTATAAGTTTGTTAAAAATATCTTGTAAATATTTATCACTGTATAAGTTTGTCAAAAGTCATATCGTAGCTATCTTTGATTTACAAATTTAATATCTTAAAAAAAATATAGGCGCAATAATAAAAAATAAAAATATCCACCCCCCCAAATGAGAACTGTAGTTCAATAATATAATATAATAAACTTAAAAATTAATATTTACGATCCTTAATCTTGGATTTAGCAATCTTGTGCAGTATCTTCGGCAATCAATACTGGAACAAACCCAGACCGTTGAGCAGGCAGGACTGGAACGGTGCTAACACGTGAACAACGCGACGAAATAAAAACTCTGGTTGACGTAGTGATAAAACAAATGTGGACCGATGACCAGCTTATAAAAACCATTGCTACGTGTGTATCAAATCAAATTAGTGACGCAATAAACAAAAAAATGGAACAACAACATAAACAAATTACAGCTGTAATAAATGAAATTAACGATATAAAAGCCGGCCTAGCGGACTTGAAAAATGCTATAAATGTACAAAAGGAGCATTTCAAACCTGATGAGCAATTTGAAGAAGTTTTAAGTGAGTTATCTGAGCGTGAAAAACGCAAAACTAAAGCAATTATATGGGGTCTTCCTGAATCATCAAATGCTACTAATAATTCTAATAATGATAAACAATCAATAATAGATATATTCTCTAAAGTTGGATTTCAGCATGAACCCACCAATATGGTACGACTGGGTAAACCTATTCCAAATTCAACATACCCTAGACCCATTAAGTTAACTTTCTCAAATCAAGAAGCTGTATTTCAACTACTTAAGAACAATAAGACCTTGAAAGAAAAGAATATTAAAAACATTTACATAACCTCAGACAAAACTCCTAAACAACAAGTACACTACAAATCCCTAAAAAATAAGATGGAGGAAAGAATAAAGAATGGCGAAGCAGGTTTGCGTTTAAGATACTTGAAAGGAATACCCACGATTATAAGCCAATCCAGTGATCATTTAAACTAAATACTTCATCCAACAGAAATTTATATACAACCATTTACTACCAGAACATGCGAGGCATAAACACAAAGATGCTTGATTTAGTAAATTCGTCCGAAATAAATAACTTCAATATCATAGCTGCCACGGAGACTTGGTTAAAACCCGATATAAATAACTGTGAGTTTATTTCTACTAAATATGATGTTTACCGCAAGGATCGCAATTTTGAACAGCTTAACCTAAGTCGCGGGGGTGGTGTCTTCCTAGCCGTCTGCAAAAGTTTATGTGTCATTGAATTAGACTTTAACGTCATCCATAGTAACCTGTTAGCTATAGATATTGTGGGAATTAAAATAACAAACAGCTCTAAAAATGCAATAGTAATTTGTATATATATTCCTCCACAATGTTCAGCTCAAGATTTTACCTTATTCTTTAATTTACTCTCATCTAGTCTTTGTACACATGACGGTGATCTTTATATTCTTGGTGATTTTAATATTCCGGAATATAAAACTACCATCACTAGCTTTAAAACTGAAAATCTTGAACTGTTCATAAACTTTTTGAATTTAACTCAATGCAATTATGTTTTGAATAGTAATAATCGTCTTTTAGATTTAGTGTTAGCTAATAATGTTTGCTCTGTTTCATGTAGTGAAGATCCAATGCTTGCTGTCGATATTCATCACCCAGCGTTGATACTTCACTTAAATATAAAATCTAATATTCAAAATATATTTCCCAATAATAATAATCCAAGTTTCAACTTTAAAAAAGCAGATTTTGTCGGACTATACAATGCATTCCTTTATCACGACTGGTCTTATCTCGATAGATGTAATAATCTAGAAAAAGCTTGTAATTTATTCTACTCAAATTTGTATGAAATCCTTGAACATTTTGTCCCTAAAACGGTTTCACTAAATAAAAAACATAGTTATCCCAAGTGGTTTACCAAGAGTATAATAAAAAACCTAAAAAATAAAGATAAATTATGGAATAAATACAAAAGAACTAAAAACGTAAACATTTTCCATGACTTTAAACAATTACGGAAAAATATAAAGTATGAAATTCATCAATCTCAAAAAAAATATTTTACCAACATTCAAGATAACTTAAAAAATAACCCAAAAAATTTCTGGTCTTACGTTAATAGTAAAAATAATCAAACATCGCTCCCCAACTCTATGAATATTAACAGCAAACCTGTTAACGACCCATCAATCATTGTAAATGAATTTGCAAATTTTTTCAAATCGGGTTACTCTATATCACCTTATAACCATGGGAATGATACCAATGTCCTTTTTGATAATTCTTTTCCCATCTTTATTCTAAATTCCGTATCTGAAGCACAAGTTGAAGAAGCAATTAAAAAATTGAAAGCCAAAGGTACTCAAGGTCCTGATAATATTCCAGCTTTTTTGATTCGCGATTGCTATATGTCTTTTATTAAACCTTTAACAAAGCTTTTTAACCTTTCTCTAGCTTCTAACACTTTTCCGTCAGTATGGAAATCCTCCAGAGTCTCTCCTATCTTTAAAAAAGGTGATAAAACTATTATCTCAAACTACCGGTCCATTGCTATTATTTGCAACTTTGCTAAGGTTTATGAACTTCTTTTGCATGATATAATTTTTAAAAACGTAAAGAATAAGTTATCTATCTACCAACACGGTTTTGTTAAAGGTAGGTCAACGACTACAAACCTGTTTTGCATCACCCAATTTATATCAGAAGTCCTAGATTCACAAGGACAGGTAGACGTTATCTATACAGATTTTTCGAAAGCTTTTGATAAGCTTGACCACAACACCTTATTAAATAAACTTGAGTATTTCGGCTTTTCCAAAAACTTAAACCATCTTTTCAGATCTTACCTCCAAAACAGAACCTACTTTGTAGAATACAGAGGTTTCAGGTCAAAAGAATTTATCGCATTATCTGGTGTTCCGCAAGGATCTATTTTAGGTCCCCTACTTTTTAACCTTTTTGTCAACGATATACCTTCAGTTCTGAATATGCCCTGTTTAATGTACGCTGACGATCTAAAAATTTATAATAAAATTGAATCCCTTGATGATTGTATGTGTATCCAAAATAGCCTTCTAATTCTAAGTGAATGGTGCACTGCGAATAAGCTACCACTAAATGCACAAAAATGCAAAGTGATCTCTTACACTAAAAAAAAGACCTTAATATATTACAATTACATAATTGACAATACATATTTAGTCAGAGACACAACGTTTAGAGATCTAGGTGTTCTATTCGACTCCAGCCTTGGGTTTATTGATCATATTAATTGTGTGATTTCTTCGGCTTACAGAAATTTGGGTTTTTTATTTAGAAATTGCAAGGATTTTGACCAACCTTCGGTTTTATTTTTATTATTTAACGCCTTTGTTAAATCAAAATTAGACTATGCTGGCTGTATTTGGAGTCCGGGCTACCAAACCTATATAAAAAGGATCGAATGTGTTCAAAGAGATTTCCTTAAGTTTGTTTCTTTTAAAATAGATAAAATATATCCTCCTATTAGCATCACCAACTCTGAACTGCGCTCACGCCATAACATAATATCTACAGAATCCCAAAGGAACCTTTCCTCAATAATATTTATATTTAAAGTTGCTAATGGTTTAATTGACTGCCCTGAAATTCTAAAAATGCGAGTTTCTACTCGGAACTCTTATATGTTCCATAACCCTATTCCACGTACCAATATACTACGACAATCTCCGCTATTTTACGCCTGTAACAATTATAAACTAATTCAAAATTCAATAGATATTTTTAATTCATCAATAAATGAAGTAAAGCAAGCATTTTTGCAGCAATTGTGATGGTAGGATTTGTTATTGTTTTAATTTTTTTTCTTAGGGTATATTGTTACATTATTGGGATTATTTTGATATTTTTATATTATTGTTACTAGTCTTAAGTCTCATCCTGTAAATGGTATTTAACTGTTGGATGTAAATTAAATTAAATTAAATTAAATTAAATTAAATTAAATTAAATTAAATTAAATAAATTAAATTAAACCCAGAGCGCTGAGCAGGACTGGAACAAACCCAGACACACGGATATGGAGCAGAATATCCAATGGATGGATCCCAAAGTAAAACAAATATCGAACGCCTTCAAGGCCCCAAACTTACAACTCTAAAATATTACAGTACACATAAGTATTGAAAACAGAAAAACAACTAAAAGATTAATTCAATACACACCCTATTCGGAGTTTTGCTGGGCACACGATAGTAAGTAATACTGGACAGCAACACCAACCAAAATTATGATTTCTGGCTACCAACACGGCATTTGTGTCGCCTGACTTAATTATAATATTTTGGGTGCTAAAATAATACACACTTCGTCTCAAAAAAACGAGCCTGACTACGAATTAAAATAATTGAAAAAGAACTTACACATGGCGAAACTTGCGATGTCTTGTTTTCCAACTAAACTTATTAAATCCAACCAAAATATATATCCTACTAGATCATCCAATCCCTTAACTCGGTTTTCGTATCAAAATATCTGAATAAACTTATTGGATGACTTCTATAATTATGGATTTCCAATCTACCTTGTCGCCATGTCACCCTCACACAATGACCTTTTTACGACCTGACGCTACACCCTCACGCCACAGTAAAGCCCAATCCCAACTAAATCAATACTAATCAACACAGAATCCAATAATTTACTCATGTTAAATCTTCTTATAGACAGATGGCGCTACGAGTATGTTACATTAAATATTAAGAATTAAATGAATATTCAAATCAAATGAATTAAATTAAATTAAATTAATATTAAAATCAGTATGAGTATGAGTATGAGTATAAGAGACGTATAACCAGCCCCATTTCCTCTTGACTCTCGAACCCCGTACAGGCCTATGTTTACTTACGCCGATTTTTGTTCTTTCCCAGCAACTGCACGGCTTTACCCGTGTTTGCTGGGTGCGAATGTCCATTGCGTTCCGTACTGTCCCCTATTTGGGGCTCGAGAGCGAGAGGCGAATAGTTTTAATAGCCATTCCCGGGTTCGCCGAGCCTATGCTATACGCTCAGTGAGGTATGGAGGAGGGACGGGAGGGTGTTGGTTTTTGGGGGACAATTACGCCGACTTAAAACTAAGTACGACGCGGAATGCCCCTAGACCAGTCGGTTAGTATTACTCCAAACATTTGGGATTACTATTTGGAGTTGGGGAGTTGTTATTACGCTGCAGGGGTGTAGTTTCCTAGTCGAGGTCTTGTTCATTATTGTCATTGTCCGTGTCGGATAGTTCCTGAACTTGGTAAAGTGTGTCGGTTGTTTTTTTATTTTATTTTTATTGTTGCTTAGTTGCTCCCAACTGGTTTTGTTAATTTGTGAGAAGTGCATGTTTTGTGCTAACGTGTCATGAAATGTGAAGCATGGTCTCCGACTTTTTTGTCTTTAAGATCTAGTTTAAGGGTGGCTTGTAGTATGTTGTTGCGTTGTCTACGAGTGACGTGGGCCCAGTATTTTAATTGGGCTACTCTTACCCTTTTGGTAATGGTTTTTCCCATTAGCAGGTCGCGGGGATGTTGTAAGTCGGGTAAGTCTGTCGTTAGTAGTGTAATGATCTTCCGTTCAAGTTTGCGTATTTTTGTCTGTTTGCTTTAGTTAGCGCGCAGGTGTTTAGGCCGTATGTTGCCGCTGGTACGATAATCGGTACACATGATAAACTCCCTCGCAAAGAAATACAACCCCCCGCGGCCCCTCCGGAAGACAATCCACACAACGGCAATCGTACTACGATTACCGCTGTGTAGACCATCCCCCGGAGAGGCCACGGGAGGCCGCAATCGCTGCGATAAGGCAGTTCCCAGTGGGAGGTATTTTTTTTACTTTTACTATAAGGTCTAAGTGTTTACAAATTCCATGGAGTTTGATTAGAGTGCTTTTTTACTTTGTTTATGTTTTCTTAGTTTATGTGTTATTTATGTCTTAAGTGTCAAATTTATTTGGTCTCGG